TTGACCATGATACCATAATTGGTCATCCTTCGACATGTGACCTGGTAAGTTCCACGTCTTGATGCTAACTACCCCCTTTTGTTGATAATACAATAGCAACTTTTTAACTGTATTGTCGATTTGATAGTCGTAAAAAGTTACATGATTGAAACCTATTATCAAGCTCAKTTCAATAAACTCGGCGATTTGGTAAAGAAACTCTCTCCCTTGCCCTCTAAGTGGAGGAGTACAGATTGCGTATTCATCATGTTTATCATGAACTAGAGACATCGAGACTAAAGGTACTCTTAGTTGTTTCGTCTCGTCATCTACAGATAAGCTTATAAAAKAGCGTGASGTGAAGCATGATGGTAGCTGACATGAAACCATGAAGCCACCAAATAGTGCACCATGGTTCTCGTTGTGCGTGTAATACTCAGCTGATTGCGAAGGGCAATGACAAGTTAATTCATCATGGCAGTAATGGCAAATTATTTTCGGTTGRTGATGTTTACCACTCAATACGACCAAACGAATTTTTTGTGCCGTTTCATCGATAAATGCCGAGTAGACATAGGTATCTTTTATAATACTTTGGAAAGTCCCTGTATTCGAAGGCTTAGTTGTTTCATTGATAAATGCCCAGGAGATACCGGTATCTTTTGTGGGATTCAGTTTTGAAGAACCTCCATTGGAAATCCCAGTTGTTTCTTTAGTTAAAGACGAGTTGATATWGTCCTCTTTTTCAAGACTTTGTATAGATGCTGTATGCAAGACCGCAGTTGTGTTTTTGGCAGTTGATTGAACCCAATTTGAACTGTTACCACCAAGCGAATTTTGTTGCGAACTTTCTTTAAATTGTGAAGCACTGAGCTCCCAATGAAACATCAAAGTTGTTGTGGTAAACAGACAAATGAGGATCACTAGAATAGTTTTAGGTCTCAAACGCATGATAAGAACACCAAAATAATTCTGAACTTCCTTATGTTCCTGATGAGTTACATGGTTTGCACACTATTAATATTCACACTGAACAATCTATTGTTATATATCACCGTTATCTGCATATTTAATCACGCATACAGGTATATTTTTTAAAAACTTGTTTGAAGTTTTGATAGCAAACGTTATCATTAACTTTATCTAGTTCTTTTAATTGACATTTATATATAATAATATGTTCAGTATCATTATTTCAACTTTGTGTCGACTAGGTTATATCTACAATCACTTTCGTGTCTAGTCAAAATGTAGATTTTGAGGCTATGAATGGTTAAGCGCTGCAGGCTGCCACTTGAGTAGCTGTATGCTTGACTTCACAACGTGAGGGAGAGGGAGGGAGGGGGCAGGTGGAATCTTAAATGCGAAAACAATTTATCAACAACCCCCTCATACTATGAAAAAATAGAAATACTTCCTAGAAAAGATGCAAGTTTATCCAGGAACTCCCCATACTAATGGCAACACCTATAAATGGYAAACCATACTGACAATAAGACTGCATGATAACGGCAAGACAAAGAGTCCTCACGCAAGCCGGTCTTGACACCTGGAAGCCTTCTTTCACAGTGCAWTTTCTCGCAGCTACTTGCTTGGAACGCCGTTGAGATATCAGATGCTGAAGTATTGCACATTGCTAACACCAATGATAAGAAAACGTTAGAGGTTTAAGAAGATATTAAGTAGCGCAGTGTGGAAATTTATTAACATTAAAATTTATATATATATATAGTTTAAAACATTTTTAACGCAAGATTTTTCTAGTCATTGACTTATATATTGTGGATGTCCCTCAAAMGGCTTCATAGTCGCCACTGAATTGTGTTATAGGGAAACTATTTCTGTTTTTCTGAACATTCAGTTTCCAAGGGCAACAATCRCAGCATGATGCCTTCGATCATTATGCTTTCATTTTAAAATATGCAGAGTCACGAGAAACAGCCGGCTTATTCTATCATATKYWTWMYYAAMMAAAAAAAAAACAAGCAAAAATAAAAAACAACAACATAAAATCAGAGTTAGTATCTACTAACTCTGATAAAATTAAAAATAATAATATCAAAAATCAAACTGATAACCTTCTAGGCGTGAATTATAAAACCTTACATCCAATCATTTCTTCTTGTTTTGTCGTTGTTATGATCTCCCCTCACCTAATACTCCACTCCCATATCATCCAAAACAGCCAGGCGTTGCTAATGTTTGAACGAGAGGATCTGAGCACTAGATGCACGTGTGCTCAAAATGGCGGATTCCAGTCATTTGGAAACGTTTATGCAAAATGAAGACTCACAGCCTAACCAGCTTTTATCAAGAATTGTGCGAGGTGTGCATATGACTTTGAAGACTTGAACTTCATCTTTTTAAGTAATGCTTCTTTAACCAGGTTTGCATTTCTTAGATATTTACGACATGAAGACGTCTATGTTGACGATTGTGGAAGACCTCGGGTAAGGAAAGTAAAACACAAAGTCTTTTAGCAACTTAATTATGTAATAATCATACTGAAATTGTKCGAATTCTATCATTTTCTATCGTCAATATCTACTGTAAATTGCGCTATTTAGTACTATGTGGTGTATTTGTTTTGTGTCTTTCCTGTAGGCCATATTTAACTAGTGCTAATGTCAGTCGACGCTGTAAAGCCGTTCAGCTTTTGTCGGGSATTCTACAAAGATTGGTGAATTTTAAACTCAATCAGCAACAAGGTATTTAAGTTTRAACATAATGACATTGACCACTTTCTTGTGATGTCAAAGGTCAGGGGATTCATCTGGGGGCAAAACAAAGATAGTTTCTACTCTTGGAGACTGGAATGTGYTTTGTCCCACATTTAGATCTACATTTCAAAAAYTGCAAGGCTYKTCTAGAGTTTTCTTRGCATGTTTACTGTCTTTTTGTTTAAAATAGTTGAGGTTTTGTGCAATTTCTACTGTGACCGTTTGAAAGATCATTACTCCATAGCGCCCTACTCTTTGATTGGCATCCAGGCTTTGGTAAGTATAACCCATAATACTGTGTCATCATTATCATAATTGATTTTCATCATAATCACCAATAATATGTTATTTTTTATTTTTTTTATTATCAATTATTATTACATGTTGAAGAATTTCTGTGAATAAGCAACATCAATAGTTTTTATTAATATTTACACATTATTAATTAATTTTTTTTTCTGAAGATTGCTAATCAAGAACTACGACCTGGACAACTAGTCGTTAAGACAATACAAGCTCTCTTCGCAGAAATCAATAATCAGGTGATATAGAGGTTATGTTGTCAAGACAACAACTAAATCATTTGCAGAAATCATGTTTTTAATTATTTCTATTAGATTATTCAACATCAAGTCTGAATACTTGGTTATAATATTAACAACGTTTCATTTGCTATTTCAAGTATTGAAATCCGTCCTGGGAATTTTAAAAACATTTTTATGCAACTGACTTTGTTGTTGTCTATTTGTCTTTGACAATCAAATAAATGTGATTGACTGTGTGTTGTTATTTAGTCATTAATGCAGTCTGGTCGGTGTACAGTATATGGGATATTACTTTCCTCGGTGAGCAAGTATCTTAAAGGTGAGACATGATGCTCATTGCTTTGGTGTTGTATTGGGCTGCATTCATTATGTATACCACAGGGGGGGTCAGAGGAAATTTTTCTACAAAATTTTTGGATCCCCCCAAATCTCAGCAGTAATTTTCATATCCCCCCTTAATTTGTGCAATAGACATGATAGACATTGTTATTTAATTTTCAGATCCCCTCCAAATTTCCTCTGCCCCCCTGTAGTATACATAATGAATGCAGCTGTGCTGTGCTGTGCTGTGCTGTGCTGTGCTGTGCTGTGCTGTGCTGTGCTGTGCTGTGCTGTGCTGTGCTGTGCTGTGCTGTGCTGTGCTGTGCTGTGCTGTGCTGTGTTGTGCTGTGCTGTGCTGTGCTGTGCTGTATACCC